TTGTCAGTGTCATCATGAGAATATTGTATTAGTTGTTGAAGATCAACTAGGCCTGCGTCCAGTTTAACTTTGCTTTCGCCAGCTGCTAATGCTTCCTCCAGAATATGAATACTCACTTCTGAATATGACTTCCATTCATCATGAGAAGATTTCAGATTATCCTGTCTTTTTGAAACATACATCCATATGTAATGAATAGAATCTTCATTCGATAATGGTGGCATCGTTTATAACACAATTATTGTAATTGGAAAGTAATCGGTAATGTATGAACACGAGCTCAGCAAATATATGTGTTAATCTGAAAAAGCTCAAAATAAAGCTTCGTCAAATGTCTATTGTGTAATTGGCCACAGTTGTTCATCAGAAAATTATTCAACCGTAATGCTCCTTCAATAGACGTCAATCACAATTCATAGGTATTTTTCAAGAAATGATCATATATATTAAAGATTCTTTGGCTGTCGCTCATAAAATCCATACGCGTGCGAAAAAAAACAAAGTTTTTCTTCTCGAACTGCTTTTCTGTCAAAACTATTATGCAATAGTAGATAAAATCTCATTACGGTTATCAGTTTTTTCATGTTTCACAGCCATATCAACATTGAAAGTGACTGTTGTAATAATAATGATATCGTTCATCCCTTTCTGTTCTTTATTCTCTCACCTCTTCTATATCGTACTATCTCCGGGTCAGATCTCTCGTTCCTCTTCTCTATATAAGCGCGTGTCTTATTGTGAAAGAGATACATTCTGGTCATGTAGAGTAGTCAATAAACATCTATACCGTGAGAAGCGGTCAGCTACTCAACCAGTTTGTCTTTACAACTGTTGTTCTCACATTACGACTTTTCAAAGCTCCTCTGAAAAGTCGGCAATTTTCCTGTATATTATCAAAGACTCGGAAAATCGATCATTTAAGCAACTTTTTTTTGATTGACTCTGTAAAATAATAATTGTAATAACGATTTTTAGCTTTGAATACGACACATAAAGCTATGCCGATCAACAAGTACGTCGAAATATTACGTAATAATAACTATTCGCTGAGAAATGTACGGATAGAGTGTCGAACTAAAAGCAAATTTCTATTTTGCCAAAGAAGCCTTACCTTTATTCGAGAACCAATTTGCTTACAACTATCGCAGAATTAAAGGACGAAGACGGTTTTTTCCAACTTACGCGTTGCAAATTTTGTTGCTTATCGCGCGAAGAATCATGAAACCAACCACGTTGTATTAAGAAAAAAAAACAAGAAAAGAAACGAACGCACCTTTTTTTTCATTCTGTCTTAATAAACATGAATCATCCAAGATACCATATGTAATGACAAACTGGATGAGTAGCTGACCACTTCTCACGGTATAGATGTTTATTGACTACTCTACATGACCAGAATGTGTCTACTTCACAATAAGTCACACGCCTATATAGAGAAGAGAGACAGAGAGAGATGACCCGGAGATAATATGATATAGAGGTGAGAGAATAAAGAACAGAAAGAGATGAACGATATCATTATCGTTACACCATACAAGATTAATTTACGATGATGGTATGGTTAAAGGTGATATAATTTATTTTTATTATATTTTATAAGAATTCATGAAGGCTCGTACAAATAGTAAAAGTTTTTGAGAGACGAACATTAGCATATAAATTCGCATGAACGCGCGTAACGCGATGACGTTTTGGCCGGAGTATTTTTACTTTTTTCTCATAGACTAATAACCATAAAAAGTTTTCTTCTTCACTGTCATATATATCCCTGGTCCCTCTATAGTCATCTGAGAAAATCAAATCGCTTGGACTAGTTGCTTGGAAATAATTGATGAAATACCTCTCGTAACATGATGACGAAAAAAAGACAAAATATTGATAGTGATGTACAAGATCAGTATTTTTCTGCGAATCTACACTACATCACAGGGAACATTTATTAGACAATCTTAAGTTGACACCATAAGGTTAGCAATGACGTGCTTGATTTAATTAAACAACAACATATGCTGCAAAAACATCGCCTTTTACTAATGTAACGCGATGATGCTGTTTTTCGAATCAGAGTTTTTTTACATCTATTTCAAAGGCATTTGACTATATAAAATTATTATAATGTAGTTTTTGTCATAGTCGTCCAGAATTAGCATTAGATCTGATATTATTAACGATTTCAATTTGAAAATTATCGGTAACAAATTATATAGAAAACCTATAAGGATCTAGTAGCTAAAAGGTATTCCTTAATTTTCTTTGTAAAAATGGGTTTAAAACATCAAACCAATTACATATTTAGAATCAGAATGAAAATTTGCATCCAATCCATGGGATTAGATTGAAAATTACAAACATTGATTTTTTCCAAAATTTTTGCACCCCTCAAAAATCGTTGAAAAACTATGAAGAAATGTCATCGCGTTACGAAGAAATTTAACACAGTGTGATCTTTCGAAAATAAAAATATATCTGTTGGAAAGCTCGTAAAAAGTTAGCTTTAGATATGTCTTTTGAGAAGAAAAATGTTGAGCCTTATTAGTGAAAAATAAACTATACTGACTTTTCGTAATACGATGATGATATAAATAGAGTAGTTTTGGCCATGCTCTCCTGATAGAGCGGTAAAGAATAAGTTCGTTTTCCGACCATTTCCTTGCCGCCGAATTCCGATCGGAAGTTCAAACGTAGGTTCCAGTCATTTCCTGACCGCTTCCTGCAAACTTCGAGCTGGAAACGGTCAGGAACTGATCGGATATTTCCTGTGCAATTCCGGCCGGAATCGAGAAGAGCTGTACCGGAACCGACTCAGATTGCAACGGATCCAGTCGCCGGAATGATCGACCTAGGACGTTGAAGAGCTATAACAGATAGAAAATCAGTATAATTCAAATTTCTACGCTTCCACTCCTTGTTTTCCTGCCGTGCATCGCATAAAATGGCAGTTTCGGCTATATCTTTTTATGCAAAAGAGTTACGGAAGCTAATTTCTGCCTCAGAAATTATGAAAACTTCCTCTTTCTATGATATTCATTTTCCACTCCAGCTATACATTCATCGACCTCTTTCTCACTCTCACGTCATTTCATACCTTATATCCTTTGAATTCACCCACCCTCAACATTTATCTTAATCTTTTGAGATCCTGTAACGCTATTGGTGAGTTTCGCAGATTATCTGTAGCGTTCACCGAACTATCATAGGCGTAGAGAACACGTGGATTGTTGTCTTTGAGCGCTCAGGCAGCCTTCGCTACCGATCCGCTGCAATTTTTCACATCTCGCAATCGTATTGGTCAGTTTCATAGATTGCCTGTAGCAGACACCTGGGTCATTTGTTCTCGGGGCAAAGTAGATGTCGACATTCCCTCTGGATATCAGGAAGCATTGTGGAAAGTTTCACGCCGATAGCTACTAAAGGGACTGAATGCATAGCGAACAAACAAACAGGCAAACTTTCTTCCTTATATATACAGTGAAACTTTCCTTAATGAACACATCTTGTTTGAACACGTCCCTCGGTCCCCCCGATTGATTTTTGCTGTGATTGCACCTCTACATAATGAACACCTCCAAACTCTGAATACTGAACGTCTTTTTCGGTCCCTTTGACAAAGAAAACCTCTGAGAAATGAGCAGATTTGCGGTAAAATACATTTTTAGGAGAAAAAAAGAGGTTGAAAATATTTTGAAACAATGTTTTGTCTAGTCTGTTGACGATTTTTTTATACATAGAAAGTGACCTTGCACAGAAAAGAAATTACGCGATGAGAATATTTCGGACATTTTAATTAATTTTTTCTCGATCCTAATTAGAGTAGGCACTAAATCAAGCGTAGAAACAAGTTAGAAGATGGGAAAGCAGATTGACGCTTCTGAAGGTGTCAACAAGATATTAGCAGTAGCTTGATAACCTAATCTTTCTATTAGTAATGACCAATCACTATACTAAAATTTTACCTCTCGTCTACGTTTAAAACTCGTTCATGTTCCCATCGGACTGAACAAGGTTCATGAGACTATAAAAAACAATTAATTTCACAAACAATTCACTTGATTTCTTTTATCAAGAAGCACTACTTGATGGACTTCGCGTTTACTAGATGAAATGCACTACAAAAAAAACTCATAGATACCATCCAGTCGTGTTCACTGTGTATTCTACATTAGTATCCTGTCAATGGATTGCAAACCTCTATATAATGAACACCTCCAATAATGAACGCTTTTTGTACGGTCCCGTAGGTGTTCATCTTACGGAGTTTTCACTGTATCTCCGGGTCATATCTCTCGTTCCTCTTCTCTATATAAGCGCGTGTCTTATTGTGAAAGAGATACATTCTGGTCATGTAGAGTAGTCAATAAACATCTATACCGTGAGAAGCGGTCAGCTATTCAACCAGTTTGTCGTTACAGGTTTGTCCCTACCTAGCGAATATTTGAATACATACGTGAGCTAATAAAAATAGTACTGAAAGACGAAATATTATGTCGCAGAATGAAAATATGGTTTTTGTAATGACATGTGTCTAAATTAGAAAACATAATTATGCATATAAAAGGAAGTAACAAGGTGATGATACATATAAATAGGATAGATAAAAATTCGACTACTCATAGGAAATCGACTGTATCATCGAGTAAACTGGAAAATACCAAAGAGGGTCTGGATATGCATGAATAAAAGGAAGTGTTTGACAAAAACAATATCATTTTATTACTCATACGAGTCACTGTTTTCAAAGGTGCTTATCATAGAAATTTTCTCTCGCGCTGTTCATGAAATTATAATTGCAACGATGGCAGCGCTTTTCGTATAGTCAGAGAAATAATTTTTGGTCGTGACGCGAGCTGATAGATCATCCGAAATTGTGTGAAAACTTTGAGACGGGGTTAGTATTTGGATATTATTTGTTCACGTTTGACGAATAAGTATAAAGAGATAGCTCAATAAGAACGAAAAAGAGTCAAGATCGCGACATCAAAGTTCAAAGTTCCATTCAATAATTAGAGATTTATGCGAATATAGCCTTCAATTTTGTGACAGCACGTTGGACACAGCTTGAGGGAGTGGCCGCATGGTACACACGTGCTTAAATGCCCACAAGGGACAAATGCTAATGTTCGAGTCTCCTCTAAGCAGAGAACACACAAATTTGCCCAGGTATCTGCTTCACTCGTTGTCTGATGATTATCTATATCTTGAGCAACGACCGGTCTCAGTTCGCTGTTTGTCAAACATTCCTTAGGAGTCATTGCTGTATTGATCAGTTCAGCGTTGTTGGCAAAATGTAGCCCACCATTTTGCGTGAGCTCTTCCTTCTCTAAAAATAATAGAATGTAGTTTGCTAACTTGGAAGGTGAATAAGAGCAGTTTGACAACAAACCTTCTTGAGATTCTTTCACGTCTAATTCGTCGCTGTGCATGTATGCTTGTTTCTTGAGCAGTTCGATGAGGTTGCATGGAACACTCTGTACAGGCTCAACTGTTCGCTCTGTTGACTCTTGATTGTGCTTGAGTTGCAGATAGCGGGTGAACTTATCAGCGATTTTAATAATTGCACATGAATTGTTGATTCGGAGAGGGTCATTATAACTTGCTGAGGCCTCAAGTGTCACATTATGGGCTAAAATATGCAAAGATTCGCTATGTTAACCTGCATTGCATTTAGTAGGATTCTTGTAATCGCTTTTTCTGTACTGGTGATAGAAAAATTTTTTGTCAGCTTAATATCATATAGTCAGCGCAACTTTGTATGCCTCTTATACAACGACTAAATGAAGTTCAACGTGCCTGACAACTACCAGAATGTATGTAGAAGAATATAGTTTCTTTTGAAATGCAAAAAGCATAGCATTTACTCCATTCTGAGGGTGTGGATGCGGGTGGATGAAATTTTTATAAAGATTGGAATCGATAGAGCTCAGCGAGATCCACCTGGAACGAATGAGATCAAAGTTGTAATACACTTGTGTGCGAATCCGTGTCCAAGATATCTTACATAAAGTGAATTGACTTTTCTATATTGAATAGTTGAAAGAGAGTCAATGAATAAATGTTTACAAGCAGTGTTCGTTTCGCTATCACATTTGGGCAAATGAATTGAAAATAATTTGACATGAATGAAGTAGAAAAGGATAAAAAAGAAAGGCCCAGGTTAATCAATCCCATACTCGGATCCGATCGGATTCAATATAGAATTTTATCGGATCCTACAGGAATTCGACGAATCCGCTGAAATCCTGATGACAGAATCGCATCGGATTCCGATGGTCTCAGATTCCATGTTGGATTTCGGCGGATCCGAAACACGGATTTTCTAAGGGTCATCATAAAGTATACCTAAAAGATCACTCATAAAATTTGCAATAGGCGACTGAATTTTTCCAGTCAGATTCCAATGCAATTCCATTTCCAGGAATCCGGTCGGATCCGATCGAGTCCAGCATCGGATTCGTTGACCTGAAGAGTGTGCATAAACGTGAGTTCAATTCGAAGACAATTCGATTGCGATCTAACTGCGAGTTTTTATCTACTACTTTTCTAATTCCTTCAGAAAAGGGCCAGTGAATCCGCAGCATGAGCGTTACGTGTGTTAATTAAAATGCCAATACCTGCTAATTCTTTTTCGAGAAGTGTTTGCATGGCCACTCGAGGAACAATTATACTGTCTTTATTTCCACAAGTAACTTCGATCTGTCGCTGCAAAATTGTACAGTACATCCATAGAGCGATAGGATTATCGAGACTATCACCTAGAATCAAATAGATTCAACAGAAAAGTCAACAGGCGCCCGCTCACAACGACTACTATCTTACATCTCAAACACAGATGATCTTTCCAAACACGCTTGAGTAAGATTACTTTAAAATTTTGGCTGAGTAACCTGCGAGAAACGGGCAGATCGAGTCGCGCAGCCACCAGTTGTGATAGAGTGATTTCATCAGGTATAATCAGTTGTCCTCTGCCCACAGTACTGTTCGCATTTCTGTCTTGTTTAGTAGTATCGTTTGCTTTTGCTCTCTCTAAATTACAGAATACACAATCCACTACTCTTATGTGTCAAGCGAGATCAAACCTTGTTGAGCTTTTTTCGATTCTTGAATCTTTTTGTACAACTCAACGCCACAAAGCTGCTTAGCATAGGCACAATTTGGAAACCAACGCGCATGTTCAATCGTTGGATTATCGTTCGGACCCCAGTTTTGTAATGATCCATTGCAGTAAAAACAAGTGACGACTGTCTTAGAGCCTGTATAGAAGAAGCCTGCTCGTACTAATTCATCGACGGGCGGAAGATTTTCGTTTGGCCATGTCTCAAACGATGCCTGTCGACGTGGAATTTCTATATAAGCAGTATGGCATGCAGCTGTGCGTGTCATTTCGACGCATTGAAACGGGTCTACGCCATTCACACTTGGAAAATGTTTAGTGACAGTAGGTGACAATACTGTTTGCCGATGTTTTGTCATTGCAATCACATACGGACACTTTGGTGAGAGTTTTTTATGAATCTCACTCGGGTCATCCGTTTGAGGAGTCCACTGTTGACAGATCAGATTGCAATACAAGCATATCACTCGATCACCAAAATTACAACAAAAGAAGCCCGCTTCAACCATTTGTGCACTCGAAGGACACATGGGTAAAGGCCAGTGAGAAAACGATCTTCGTCGTGTCTCTGATAACAGAGTTATTTCTGTCAGTACAGTACTCTCACAAATTTCGTCGGTAAGATCTTTCTTTTGCCGTTTTGCTGGATTGTAGTCACCGTCTGTTGTTGACATGATCGTCACTGGAGTTATGATCGACTTGTCAGGCATCATCGACCGAACATAAGTACATGCTGGACTTCGTTGCTTATGAATAGTAAATGGGTTCGTATCCGCTGTCCATTCGGACACTTCTAGTCCGCAAGCTTGGCAACGAGCGGTGTCTTCTAAACCTGTGTAAGAAAATCCAGCTGCTTGCATTTCTATGTTTGAGTATACATTTTGCTTGTTTTGTATTAGATTTGTCAAAACTTGTGATTTTGTAAGTTTGTTTGCAATACTCGACATTAAACGACGGTTCAAACTCTTTTTTGGCATAAATTGTGTATCAAAAGACTGTTTCATAGTTGTATCAATGGATCCAGTTTTGAGTTGATCAGTGGTTATGTCGGTCACTATAGATACAGAAGATAGTAAAGTATTGGTATCTAAAAACGATGCTATTCATATATGTGTGAAATTCAATTCGACGTGTATCATGTTTATGTGAAAAGAAAAATGAACCAAACCGCGGTCACACGTTGTGTGTGTACCTATCAATACTTTCTAAACTCATACCCAAATTTTCGTCCGTCGATACCACGTGCTGGTTTCATTGCCAGTCTTCGATGTGCACTACACCGCTGTTCTGCCATGAAACGTATGCGTAACGGCCGCTGTATTAGATGCTTGCGACTCATAGTTGTGGGGAAGTATTAAAATGCAGGGTACTGAATGGATGCCAGCGCACAAAATAATCTTATTCAAAGGTAAACAGGTTCAAGGACAAAACGAATTTCTACATACGTTCTCTGAAAGATAGAATAATATAGGATTATTGATCACATTGATATGTAAGACGAACTATTTGACTAGTTTACTGGTACACCATGCTTTGGATTTCGATCATTGTATGTGGAAATTATATTTTGATACACTCACAGATCGTACGCTGCCGCATCAGAAAATACATTGCGCGTCGTAACTGCGATGCATTTTTATTACAATAGGGCAGATGACTGGTAGTTTATATGGTTTAGCAGAAAATCAACAATAGGAATTTGGCCAATGGGATTTCGATAATCTTGCAGATTTGAAAAACTGCATAGGTTTTTCTAGGAGTATGTTAGTAAAAAGATTCATGTAATATCCTACTGCCCAGATTTACCCACACCTTCAAACTCCTTTTGTCGATTTTCCGTTTTATCGTTTACATACGGGGAAAGTGGTAAATGCGGAATTTGTATTTCGTTTGGAGATTTCCTGATAAATTGTCGCATATGCCTCAGAAGGAACAAAACGCAAGAGGCCTGACTGTTTAGTTGTAGATATGGATGCTTTTCATTCTTTTTGGGTGTTCTTATACAATTGATAAGAGTATTGCGCAATATTTTTTAGTATTTGTCAGATTTCTTCATCCATCGAGAAGATTGATTCATACCGGTAACAGTTATGCACATTCGCAGTGTGTTTCGATGACGTACCTTCTTACAGATTAACCGTCGTGAAAAAAACCTTTCTCGCATCGTCACAAAGATACTTGGAAAATTCCAACCATATCCAAGGAGAAAGAATAACATTGTCGACACGAGAAATAATATATGTATGTGATAAATTATGATAGAAAATGAATGTGGTCTATTAAAAAACGATCGGCTAGGTAATATTCGGTTGATCAAAGGGAAAAAATAACAAACGCACGGTTTGCTGTAGTGAATCATTTGTTTACGTGGGAGGCTACACGTACGATACCTTCGGGCAAGATTCTACATTTGCTCGATCGGATTCGTTTCAACGTAGATTCCAATCAAACCAACACTGGTTCCAAGCACAACTTGATGAGCTCTATTGGCTCCAAAAAGCTCTTTCTTCACCCTCAAAACCTAAAAAAATCTGAACAAAAAAACACCCAAAAAGAAATCGACACTAGAGAAAAACCGGGGCGGATTCGTTTTACAACCACTGATCGCGAGGGTGTGGGAATGGGTGACGGTGGGGTGAAAATCTTTTATTGTTGAAACGGATAGAGCTCGTCGAGCTTGGTCTGGAACCAGTGTTAAAATCGCGGTTGATGGTTGTAAAACGAATCCGCCCCGGTTTTTCGCTAGTTTCGGTTTTTTTGGGTGTTTTTTTTGTTCAGGTTCTTTTAGGTTTTGAGGGTGAAGAAAGAGCTTTTTTGGAAATTTTATTTTTGGAACCGAAAGAGCTCATCAAGTTGTACTTGGAATCAGTGTTGGTTTGATGGGAACCGACGCTAAAACGAATCCGATCGAGCAAATGTCGAACCCTGCTCGAATGTATCCTACGTGGAGACTACAGGATAGGAAGCTTTCGTCTTTACTTTCAAAATACATGAGGGTAGCAAGGATTCGCTCTCTTACCATTCTGAAAGACTTTAGTACCGGTCTCGATGAGTGATGTCATAATATCATTATCCCGGGTGTCCGTTTAAAAATCGACAACAGTATATCCAGAATCCGGAGGAACTTGGTCGATACCCAGCGGGTAACGAAATGGATATCGACGAATGGCCTTTGAAGAAATTCATGTTCAAGACCATGAGTCTGATGGAAATACTTAATGGTATCAGTGATAGCAGGAGCTATCAGAATCTAGAAGAGAATGTAATTCGGTACTTTACGTCTAAGTTGCTGAGTTAGAATTGATGAGCATACGAAGTCCTCGTCGAGGCATCACTTGTTGGAGTTAAAACTCTAAAAGGCTTTTGTCGACTTACCAACCTTTTCCCACACCCTCATGTTGTGGTATGCCTACGGATCGGGCTTTTCCTCATACCTAGACCATCAAGGTGGTTCAGAAGTATGTAGTTTTGATTTCTGATAACGAGATAAGCCGACCGAATTCACTCAAATTCCTCACATCTCAAAAGATACAGTTTGGTTATCCTCCTGAGTATCGGGACGTTCAGCTCTGAATATCCAACGTAATGATATTATGACAGATGTGGTCTCGATGGATTCTTTGAACTCCAGTTATATTATTTTCGCATAATTTCATCTAAAAGGAAAATAACTGATCGTTCATTGATAGCTCACTCTCAATTAGTGGCGTAACCAGAAAAATATGGGTACCCGGACGTCGTCCTACACATTTGAGAAACTCTAACAATAGTAAAAATATTTTCTATGGTTCACTTAAATCTTCCACTCTTTGTTCCCCTGCGATTAGGGTAGAGTCAAAACAATATATTTTACTATTCTTTCAAATTAGGGCTAGCAAAAACAAGAAAGAGAAAAACTCAACAGTAGCTCTTTCTGCATTATTCAACTGTTTCTATGTTATATAGAAAAATTATCAATAATCCTTTTTCCTAATTAACATCAACATCTTTTTCGGGCGCAAATACTGATAAATCAGTGGCTTTAAGCCTCCTGTCCTGCATGCTACTATCCAAAACACTTGGAATTAACTTAATTCTCCTGAAAGTTCGTTCGTTTGTAGTGAACATATGAGAACTGTCATAGCTTTAATAAGAAATAATATAATAATTAGAAATGCATGTTGTCCTAAAAATATTTCAAGGTACAAATTAATCACTTCTGTGGATTTTTAGGGTTACAAGATTGTCCTCGATTCGCTACTTGTGGTTCAGTATTTACAGATAAATTTCACTTTTTAATTTTGTTCATGAAAATCCCATGTCTTATATTTCTCAAAACGTCGAGCTAGCAGATGATAATGATGAAATACAATAAAGATTTTCAATATTTGTTCTGCAAAAGCGACTATTCATCGCAAGTAGAATACAGTCGATTATTAAATAAAAAACTAATAGATTATATTTATTTCTATCATTAGTTCCTTCGCGTTGCTCGATAAAATATAATCAGACTCTTAATTATCGCCATAGAAGTTTTTCCAGTCGCTCTTTTTTCTATTCAGTATATAAACAGAAATCAAGTTTATGTTCACTAGAGAAATTGATAATATCATCAAGCATCTTAGAAAGTTCTACCTCATGACTATGTTCATTATATTGACGAATTATGATATTAACAAAAATATGAGGATGTGTCAAAACTGACATATTTAGCTAGAATATACTGTAAAGATCATTCATAAACTGTTTTTAAGAATTATTGAATATACGAAAAAGACCAACGCTTCAATACCAGTTATATTACTTGATTTTTCTCGGTAGCCGGACAAGAATTATCGGTGCCCCGGCAAGCCCACCCCTGGTTACGCCACTACTCTCAACTAGCAGTTTCGCACATTCGAACCTTTGGCATAACTCGTCGTGAAAATCTGAACATACTATTGATTCTGTAGCGTCAATAAATTTGAATGTAGGCAGTACATCGTTCTTTAGATTTTCGTTTTGAGAAAGCATATGATCACGAACGCCTCTCATCTCAGTTAGATGAGTCATTCTTTGTTAAGTTTTCGAATAGTTCGATGGGCATGGTCATTCTGAATGTTATAAACAAATATGTTGGACACAAAAGCTTTATTCAATAGTTATCGACAAGTAGCGCTCGTCGAGGTCGACTCGCTTTCTCCTCGGCTGGATTTTTCTTTCAAAATAAACGTAATATAATGGAGTATTCTTTTAAAACGCTTTTTATATTGAGAATTTGAAGATGATATTTGCATATGAGATTAGGTTAGTTTACAACTGACAATATGAATTACACGAGAGGAAAATAAGTTTGATGATGATGAATATGAAGATCCTTTACCCGCGACTACACATACTTAGAAATAAAACAACATTTGTCGAAGCAGGCTCGCTTAGTCCTTCACAGATTTTTGTGTCACTCCATAGTTTTTGTAAAAACTGTTCAAAAGATGGATCAAACCATTAATCTCGCAGCCGGTTCTCAGGACGAACATTCCGACCTTCGAAGCCGGCAGGAAAGCACCTCTTTTTTGCCTCAATCCGCCCCGTTCCCAACGGAACTGTCAGGAACAGCGAGCAGGCTTCCAACGAAATCCCAACAAGCGGATTGAACTCAGCTCATTTTCAGAAGTTCCGACCGGTTCCAAACCGTTATGATTACTTTCCCGCTAAAACACCTTACTACACATTAACTATCGTCCGCCACTATCATTCTGCATACACCATTAGCATCAAACCATCCACCACATCCCAGAATCTAAGAAAGCCACTAGGCATGCAACAATCCCGATTCGGTTCGATTCCGATTCTAGAATCGGTTGGAATCGATCGAAATTGGAACCGAACGGGATTGATTAGAATTGGCTGGAATCGAGGCGATATATATTCAAATATATTACTACTTTTAACTAGACCAAAAATGGTTTCGAGCAGTTTTCTTCAGTGACAGATGAATCTTCAGCAACAACAAGGATTTAGAAGTCGTTTCCTGGCAGATCTCCTGAAGTCCGTGAAAGTTGTTAACTATCACATGTCAGTTTCGAATCAATTCGATTCCGATTCCAACCAATTCCATTCGATTCTAGAATCGGAATCGGAGTCGGATTGTTTGGAATTGGGATTGGTGCATGCCTAAAAACCACTGCCCAGTCAAGAGGAGCAAATTTATAAGAAGCTAAAAGTCCGATTTTTCATCCAGAATCTTGATGTCTGTCCTGGACTCAGAAACTAATTGCCGATAGATGTTTATTTTTACAGAAAGAAATCAAAAACTTTACTACGACTACTACACTCAGTAAGCATGGCACAGAACTAACTATAAATAAATACGAACAAAAGCCTCAATTTCCCGACGACACATCGGACATACTCGGAGAGAGTTGCCGCAAGATAAACACGCTACTAAATGTCCACAAGGTATGCACGCCAATTTCTTTTCTTCTTTTGAGCATACAACGCATGGATTAGACAGTTGCAAGTTTTCTGTCTGCTTTTCTATTTTAATAGGTAATACAGATACTTTTGAAGTAGAATTTTCCATATCCATATTTCGTGATTCGGAGACATCCGCATCATTAACATTCGATTCTGATGGTGTCGACGTACTCGCACCTTCCACGCGGGCAGAAGTTCCTGAAGCAGTATTTCAGTTATTAAGAAGTTAGTTCAAAACCTGTTTTATATACTTTGCTGTTCTTTTTCACGAAGTTCCTTCATTGCTTGATACGGGATAGTAATGTTTTCTTTCCTACCATCGATAATACGTATTTGCTTATCCAAAATAACGCAGCTCAAATAAAGTTCACAATCATCAAGAAAATCATCACCTTAAATAAAAACAACTGTCTCATTGAGTCCAGTTATATCTGTTTATATTTACGCTTAAGTCTCAATTGATCTTCCCAACAGCGTTTGATTATAGAGATTCGATAGTTTTCATCGAGTAGCCGCTGGGAAACTGTCAAATCAAGCCGAGCAGCAACAAGTCGTGAGAGTAAACTTTCATCTGTTACATTTAATAGTCCTCGACCTACTTGTTGACCGTCAGGTTTATGTTCATCTGCACAAAAATAAATATGACAGTACACGTTTTTATAATATTCACTATAAAAGATTTAACCTTCTTGAGCTTTTTTTAGCTCTTGAACCTTTCGATATAGGTCTGGTCCACATAATTGTTTAATATAGGCACAGTTTGGAAACCAACGCGCGTGTTCAACCGTTGGGTTATCTGTTGAGCTCCAGTTTTGCAATGACCCACCGCAGTAGAAACAGGTGACGGTTGTATCGGAGCCTGTATAGAAGAAACCTGCTCGTACTAATTCATCGACGAGCGGAAGATTTTCGTTTGGCCATGTCTCAAATGATACTTGTCGACGAGGAATCCCCATATATTCAGTGTGGCATGGAGTTGCGTGCACTATTTCATCGCAACAAATCGGTTCTACGATATTCGTATTTGTAGAAAGCCCATTAAGAATCAATATCGAGGCTATATCTTGGCGGTTTGTCATTGCAATTACATACGGGCATCGTGGTGATAATGCTTTGTGTATAGCACATGGATCGTCAGTCTCAGAATTCCAATTTTGACAAATAAGGTTACAATACAAGCATATCACTCGATCACCAACATTACAACTAAAGAAGCCTGCTTTCGCCATTTTCACACTTGATGGAGCCATTCGCTGAGACCAATGTGAGAATGTTCTTTTTCGTAACCGTTTCAGTTTATCCACTTCAACGAGAACGGGCGTTGGTAAATACTCTCGATCTGTTTCGAGTTTCTGTCTCTTTGAAGGTTTTTCATGATCATCTGCAAGTTTGTTCATTATTGAGAGTGTGGTGTTAGAGAACGTATTGACAGAAACGGCAACCACTAGTGAACGGACAAAAGCACATTCTGGGCTCTGTTGAGTATGGATACTGAAGGGTTTCATATCCAATGTCCAATTAGATACTTCCAGGCCGCAGGTATCGCAGCGAGCAGTGTCTTCTACACCTGTGTAACGAAATCCTGCTGCTTGCATTGCTATGTTAGAGTGTGCGCCTTGTTTTTGCGATAGTTTTCGGCAGTTGAAGATGGTCTGAGTTAATGGGCTTGCTTTTTCAAATGGTAGATGTTGCTGGGTAAATTTTCTTCTTTTCAATTGTGTAGCAGGATTATGATTAATATAGTTTTTGGCACTCGGAATAACAAGTATATTCTGTTGTCGTTCATCAATGTTGGAAAATTCATATTTTGAAAGCATATTTACTCTAATGTTATTAACAGTTTTGTACACAACTTCAAGTAACTTCCTCCAATCTTGTTTATATAATTCAACCAATTTCAAATTCTGTGAACAAACTATTTATTTTATGTCTGTTTGGTTCAGTTGATGACTATCAGATGCTTCTACTTCAGTATGTCAGTCATTTTCGTCGACAATAAGTTTCGCTTCGTGCATGGTTATTGAATGAAACTGAGCCTTGTTTGCCTCCATTATATAGGTTGTAAGTTGGAAAAAACCAGGTGAGGAAAAGAAAAAGGCACATGGCTTAACTGACAAATATGGTGGAAACAAGGGATTAGAAAAAAATTCATAACTAAAAATATTCGATCTTTTATTGATACCGACGGTGTGAAAAATATTAAATTAATTTTTAAACGCGCTTTTGATGGCATATCACTTCGTGCTGATCGATTCATGGTTATATACGTATGATCAAAGCACATGCGATGGAATATACTTATTTCCCAAAATAATAATTTTTGCTATTTATAAAGAAGGATATTTCCTTGCCTATGTTATTAGTCTTAGCCGATTTTATACGACCCGCGATTGTAATCACGAAAAGCTTCTCATATGTTATCATATACTGACATGACGAAAAAAACCCACCAATTTCTTCTTATCAAAAAGGGAGAAAGCCATGTAAATATGGTTATTTCCTTTATTACATGTTTACCCTGTATTCGAAGGTCATGTTAGATTGCTTCTGAATACTTGTGAAGCTTCCCCATAACAAATTTTAATGCGCGTCGCTGATACGTGGCACGTTTTTCATTTCCTTTCTCTCATGCTTGACTGGGTAACTGATTTTGTTTGGTCGTAAGGAATGAACCATATAAAAAGATTAGATGTTGGACAAAAGTGCCTATACAACAAGTCATCCATAATGATTTCATCGAAAACATCCTAGGAAGACAGACAGACTGGGTTTTTTCCAACAAAACGCAGTTGAAAAAACAAAAATAACATTTATCAAGAACATTCTTCGCCGATAAGACAGCTGTCAGACGGTTGTGTTTTCACAGATCAAAGTGCTGCATTTTTTCTTTTTTCGGCGACATTTTTCAAATATTTTCTTGACGCGACAAAACTTACGTTTTTATTTCTGTAATAATCAATCTTCATGATTTCGTTTTTTCGAAATAACAGATGAATCGATCACAGCATTTTCGCTAGTTAGTTGTTCCCATATTTTCGTATTGGGCGTAAAATACAAATCACGAAAGTTACTAAATAATTTTTCATTCACTGTTGCCTTCTCATCACCTTGACTCTCGCGTGTTTTCACCATTGTTATTAGCCGTCGGCTAGTTGTTCGATTGAGTTGTTGTTCATCGTTGGAAAATAATTGAAAGCACGAATGTGTTGGTAATAAACTTTCATCATAAGTCATGATATGCGTAGGCATCCAGAAAACTAATCGTCCACCGATACGAAGATAAACATTTGCAAAGTTCAACAAATCAACATAGATATTTGTTAAGTCATATTTCTGTGCATCGCCTTCGGCCGAGTCACCTTGACGACGACTTTTGTGCTGAGAGGATTCACGAATACCATAGGGCGGATCGGAAATGATAGCGTCGAATGTAAACCCTTGTCGCCACGGTGGATAGGCAAAATCCGCACCAACGACACCTAAGAAACGACTCAATGTGCCATAATCAGAAAAGTTTCGGTACATCATTTCATCGGGGTTACGAGCACGTTGCTTCGTATTGGCTTTCGTTGGTTTAGCTACAACATGTAGAGTTCGAAAAGCATCGTGATCGCGCCCGTTCTGTTTTTTGTCTAAACAATCTACCTTGTGCTGTTAGTACACGCCAGTCAAATTCACTTCCAATTACATAACTACCGAATTCTGCACAAGCCAGTAGGATACCACCTAGATGCAGTTTTTCGATTATATTTTAATAGAAGGATATTCACCGAAACTCACCTGTTCCACAAAAAGGATCAAGAGCGATATGGTTCGGTTGGCACTGAGCCATGTTTGCCATGACAAATGATAATGTAGCATCCATGGTTGTATTGCCTATGCGAATGGTGAACGTTCGAAACTGAACCTGGTACATTCTTATTTTTAACTTACCAATGAAGTAACGCTTTCGCACGTCATACTTTTCAATCAAATGACGTGCTCCATCACATATCTCAAATGTATATGGGAAATTTTCGTTGTGAATAATTCGATAGAAAGATATTTACCCATCGCCCAGTGAAAACTTCTTTCGGTTGTTCCAGTAGTCCTTCTTCGTAGTTTTCGAACAGACCAACAGTACAATCCGCTTTATTATTTAAACAAAATCGATTTGTGATATTCAATCGATCACTGAATGCCTGCAAGTTTCAGAGTGAAATAACAAATCCATGTTTTATGACTCCTACTTCAATTCGTTGAACTTTTTCCGGTTGTGCAAATTGTTTTCGAAAAGCATGAACAAGTATACGCCATGTTTCATTAGGTTTCGGACGCTAAGATATCCAAAAGAATCAATCTACTCATGAATATCTGTTTTCCTAATTACCAAATCGGAATTGACGGTCAATTTGTCAACAACATCGACCATTGATGATCCGTGTGTCCAATATTCATAAGCAGATCTAAATGAATAGATCTCCTATGTATATATGCTACCGATATCGTCAAATCTCACTTCAGTAGCACAGATCGAGACGAGTACAATTTTAAATGATCCACATTAGAAAATGTGCATAGCATAAATGGATCCTAGAATCAAATAGTTGCTTTTTTATGTCTCTTTTCTATCCGCAAGATGCACACACTTGCTCTGGTTTTCTTTCGATTGTCATACTCTCTCGAAAACCGAACATTTCTGCCAAACTGAATAATTCCTACGAGAATGGAAGAGTTTGAGACGCATTCATACAGTTATTCATTACTCACAGCCAGTCGGAAATCGATCAGTTCATGAGCAAAAAAAAGTAGATATCGAGGCATGAAAATATGCGTGCCTTTTCTTTTCTAGAACAGAAAATGCAAGCCATTTCTTCCGAGACTATTGACGTGTAATGAACATTATTTATTCTATCTCTACTTCATCCTTCATTATTTACTGCAAGATTATTTATTATTATAACACATATATACAGTTAACTGAATTCTAAGATCTTTTTATTTTTGTTATAAAACAAATGGCACATCCACATCACACTCGTCGAAATCCGTCGATGACATATTGACGTTTCTGATCGAGAAGGCAGGAATGCGCCGTGCGATGTAAAACTTCTAAAAGATTTGAAAAAACTGTCAAAAAATACAACGAAATTACTAAAAATTGATTCAATTGAACATAACTTTATATCGATTATGCTTCAAAAAATACGTACCATTGTCGACGTAACAAATAGATATCTTGTTTAAATGTAGATCCTCACAAAGGCTTCTATTTCGCGTCTGCACATTGGACATGATCTCAAAGAATGTCCACAAGGAACACACGTGGCTAAATGGCCACAGGGTATGCAGGCTAATCGTTTTTCTTCTGTTAAGCAAAGTACACATGGATTTGATGGAGTATTAGAGTTCGATTGATCGTGTTCGCTGCTTGATGAAACGATCTGTTTAATGGATTTTGTTTCTCCTTGACTGCCAGGTGTGGTTGGTTTGGAAGTTGATTCAATCGAAGATTGGGAGGAGACCGATTCGTTTGTTAAAGACTGTGATGATGTAGTCATTTCAGCATCTGTTGGATTGGAGATCACTGGTGCTTGATTAGATGTTGGCTCACGAAGTTGTGCTTCTAGAAATTCAAATCGCAGGTGAAGAAAAGAAGTAGATCGAATGAAATGTAACTGACCATTTTTTTCTCGAATCTGTTTCATCTTGATGCTTGGTATGACAATATTCTCCTTTTTACCATCGATGTATTCGATTTGCTTCTGGAGAATAGTGCAAGCAATGAAGAGGTCACATTCTGATTGAAAATCATCTTCTAAAAATCGAGAAAACAAACAGTATTAAAGAAAATGCTTTTCTACTGAGTTTAAAAACGTACGTTTCAATCGTAATTGATCTTCCCAACAACGTTTGATGATAGATAATTTGAAATTTTGATCGAGTAATCGTTGAGAAATTGGTAAATCGAGTCGTGCTGCCACGAGTCTTGACAAAGTACTTTCATCAGGTATTAATAATTGACGGTTATTGGTTGTTGTGGCAGCGCCTGTTGTATTTGTTGTTCCACTTACAGTCGCTCTCTCTCTAAGTTCATTGGCTTTCGCCCGCTCTAAAACAGAAATCAGTTTCAAAAACTTCTTGTACTGAAGAAGACAACAAGTCTGACATACCTTGCTGTGCTCGTTTTGACTCCTGAATCTTACGATACAAATCATCACCACACAGTTGTTTTGCATATGCGCAATGCGGAAACCATCTTGCATGCTCGATCATAGGATTATCGTTTGGACCCCAGTTCTGTAGCGATCCATTGCAATAAAAGCAGGTTACGATACTTTTCGAACCAGTATAAAAGAAACCGGCTCGTACCAAATCATCGACGGAAGGTAAATTCTCCTTTGGCCACTGTTCAAATGATGCATGACGCTTTGGTATTTCTGTGTAAGCAGGATTACAAGCAGCTGTGAAAACGATTTCGTTCGATCTTAATGGATCAAATTGGTTTGATGATGAATTGGTGCCAGTGACCGCAGTAGCTCCGCCTTCATTTACAATAATTATTGACGATGCCGGGGGACGTATCAATTTCGCTCTAACATATGGACACTTCGGCGAAAGTGTTTTATGAATTTCGCTCGGATCATCAGTATGAGGAGTCCATTGCTGACAGATAAGATTGCAATACAAACATATCACCCTGTCACCCACATTGCAGTTGAAGAATCCAGCTTCCATCATTTGCGCTACAGATGGAATACTACGACTTGGCCAATGAGAAAAAGTCCTTCTTCGTACTTGTTGAAGTAGATTCGTTTCGTATAACATACTAACTAATGACATTAACTCATTTTGTTCTATTTTTATTCGCTTCGAGGGCTTTTCCGATTCATTCGATGACGACGAATTATGAGCGGTTGTTGCCAACGATGATGATGATGTTGAATGGTGTATTAGTTCCGGTGATTTTAACTTCAGAGACTTTAGAAATGAGCAATCAGGACTCTTTTCGAAGTGAATTGCTCTAGGGTCGATATCTAATGTCCAGTCTGATATCTTTAGTCCGCAGCTATCACATCTCGCTGTATCTCCTTCACCCGTATATTCGAATCCATGGCTATTTAGTACACATACACTATAAACTCCATGTTTCGTCGTTGATTTACGAAGTTCTGCTATTCGAGTTTGAACAGCGGTTGCTTTCGTCATTTCCTCTTTTCGCTTAGTTGAAGTTTTTCTTCGCGTATCCATCGCTTCATTTTTATGTAATAGTTCATGGATTGCCTTTGGAGATGTAGAAAATACTGATGACATTGTGTAATATACAAATAATAAATCTAAAAGAATACGACAGAAGAGAGAATATATCACAATTGTGAGTAATTGTTTTAAATGAAAATAAAAAGTACTAAGATGTCTCTGCTGACTACCATTGTTAGAACGAACTGTCTATTTTTGTGTTTTCGACTTCGGCTTTATTTTAATGGATAATTGCACTGTACAGAAATGAAATTCGAAACTACTTTCCTTCGTCCAAGTATTCCATACTCACATACAGAAGTGCAGAATCTTCTAAAAATATAGAACTCCTCTCAACGCGGGGGCACGCACGAGGAAGGTTCGACACTCTTACTCACGTATGATTCAATCTGGCATATTCCGCGTTGTAGGGGGAAAATACCAAAGGCAATGCGTTGCTTTATAGTCAGCTCATATTGAATATAAAAAGCATCGCTTGGAAATTTCCAAGTTTGTTCACTACCAATGGAAGCGAGAGGATGTTTTCAACCAATCAGACGACAAGACACTACGTGACATCTATATAGATTGACAGAGGTGAAACTGAAAAATTTCGAATCAATCGAAGAGAACAATGAATTAATTGAGTTCAGGGTGAATAGTATTGTGCTCGAAACATACAAATGATACCTTATCTTACATACTAAGAAACAAGCACAACACTCTGTACTACATTTTAATTTTCACTGATCGGCATTTTAACCATTCTCAATGGGAAACTACCAATTGTAGTAATCCCTATTTCTTTTGAAAAATTCGTTATTAATTGCATCACTGTAATTAATCATTACCGAATATCTGTGAATCAGTTTATTTATGTTGATGACGTCATGTTGATTAACATTCTCCTGACTAAAAAGCGTCATTTAATTTAATTTTTTATAAAATTGCGTAAAAGAATCTTCTGGCCATCATGATACTTCAAATGATGTATGATATTTTCGTTGTTATAAAATATGGGGAACCTTCATGTTGTTTCTATTCGCCGTCAAAGAACGTAAAAACATATGACGTTGTTATGCTTCTATCAGCATTGCGACATAAGAATTTTTAGAGATTTTCTCTACCAAATTTGTTACTAGCAACCATCTGTCATATACAATTACTCATGGAGTGGTTTCTATCCCATACATTGGGAAAAAACCTCCAATTCACTGGTTATTTTTATATTGATAAACGTCGTGATCTACGAAGAAATATTTATGTATGGGGAAAAAACCAAGAAATAATATCTCTCTCAACGTGTCTAGTAGCACTTGACTGCGTGTTGAAGTACCAACTTTCTTGTAGTGCTTCGTACTGGAAATGCTCCAAAAGTACGATTTCGAACATCGGTAATTGATACTTTGGTTATCAGGGGAAAAAACCAACATCAATCCAGAAATTTAATACTTGTCAAACTATTACTCATATTCCGTCACATCCTTAATACTTCATTGAATACAAAACAATTGTTGAAAGAAAGGAAGTTTTTTGTATGAGTATTGTTTGTGACTAAGTCAAAAATGAGTAACAATCTACGTCGTCTTAACAATTATATAACAAAGCATGATTCTTGATCACACCATTTCAACCCTCAAAGTGCATAATAGCATTCTATGAGTAACTGATAAATAACCCTTTCTTGTAGAACTCAACTTCGATAGAGTTTATGACTAAGTGGGGCGGCTTTTTAATAAAATGTCATTGACAAGCGTAAAAATTATTTATTCATTCTGCGAAACAAATTTCATTCGGAGAAAAGAAAGACGCCTAATCACACTACAAATCTGGCGAAACCATCTTGAGGGTGGGTGAAGGTGGTGATGAAAAACTTGATGATTGGAATCATATAGAGGTAGTCGAAATGTGTTGGGGCTGAAGTCTGAAGCCGCGCTTAATAGTGAAGAAAAGAATTGGACCGAGTTTGCCAAAATCTCAGGTTTTGTCACTGCTATTTTTGAAGTAGGCGGGTAAAGGTTTTTCAATATGTTATCATTGGAATCAGTACGGCACTTTGAGTTCTACTTCGAACCAGTGGGATCAGAGTTGAAACGCATGTATGAACGAATAAAATCCTGAAAATACTTGAATAGGACACCAAGATATGTCATGTCGTCTCTTCTTTGATGAGCGCTATGGATGGATCTTTCCAGCGTCTCTTTAACAGCAACTGTTTTCACAAAAGATTGTTGCAAGACTCACCCAACAAATTCTCTACTCATTGACCTCTGCACATGTGTCTCTCGAGTACACAAATGGTTGTAGCAGGTTTCCTTATAGTTGTAATGTTGGCGATCGGATGATGTGTTTATTTCGCAATCTAATCTGTCAACAGTGGACTCATCAAACGCATGACCTAAGTGAGATGTCCATATGTGATTGCGAAAGACGTGTATAGGAAAGAATTCTATGAGAATATGCAAGAACTGGAAAGAATTCATTAGGGTTTGCTTCAAGTTAATTTTAATAATCTACTGTCTGATTTGGAATATAAGAATACGATAGAATAGCCTATCAAAAAGGAAGAATACGATAGCGATAATGCACGTGGAGAACAATCGATGATACTCAACTCGATCTTCTCATTTCTCGTAATTTACTACGGCAAAAGATCCAATTACCAATAGTCAAACGAATCAAACTATTGGAATGAAATCATCACTAGTTCTATGGACGATGGAATTATGAAGATCAGTTTACAAATAATTTGTTCTTGTCAATTTTATGTTTAATATATACAGTCTTAATAATTTCTTGCAAATTTCTTTTGCGCCATCCGAACGTTTTGTGAATTGTAATTAAACAGGTAGGTGACGATTTTGAATATATTTTTTCTAATAACATTTTCGATTGTTCAACATGGTCAGTAATCATAATCACGCACCCACTAATAACAAATTTTCTCGGGTCCAAGACTAGAGTTTGATAATCAACTACTACACAAAATTAGCATGATATTCTAGGACATATTATGAAAATATATCCAAAAGGAAATGATGTAATTTACTTCCCCTATTCTTCATCTAATTGACTTCTTCACAAATCAACAGATAAATAACTAACAGAACAATAAGTAAAGTCTCTACAAAGTTGTGAAAAACGTGAATACATTTCCGTTCATCGATCCGTCACTTCTATGTTGAATTCATGAAGAAATCAGTAAGACAACTCACAATATAGAAATCGTTGCTTGTAACAGTAACCAACATATACTACAATAACCAACAATCTGCCTTCGAACAGTACGTTCAGAAATCTTTGAAAGAGTAATAGCGCACGCAGACGCTTCCATACGAATAACACTTTGTTCTACATACACATCCTGGTTTTTGTAACTACTAATTTTTGCTGACTCAAAATATGTTTTATATTTGTCATAGGAGGTTTTGTGCATATCAAGAAAGTTTCTGTACTCGTCTAAAAAATCCGACCTAAATCGCTGGTTTTACTGAATACAGAAAAAGAAAAGAAAGAAAGGAGGACAGAGAGTGAATAATCATGAAACATTTCTCATATAAAGAACAATGTATGATTAATCCATTTACACTTCATTTTATCCAACAAAAACTATCACAGTTGGCTAATTTGATCGATCGAATATAGAATATAGTTCTCAATAGATATCAATCATAGGAATACTGTGTGTAAGCACACTTCTTTAAACTTTATTTCGATTAAAATACCTGCACAAACAATGAATACTAATACATCTGAACGAGATCAACGTATTGTACAATGGTGATTCTTAGATAATTTTAATCATAAAGGTCTTCTATCTGAAGATGATTTAGTAATAATCTATCTGAGTATTTTTTTTTATTGATAGGTGTTAGTGAAAAGCAATTGATCAATTAAAAATTTATACACTAGGAACTTGTGAACAAGCTAATAAAATATATGTGAAGGGTTCTCAATATTGTTTGATTTATTTTGCACTTCTAGCAGTATCTGGTGGTGGAGAATTACATCCAAAAGAATTGCAAGCTATTAAAAACATTGCAAAAAAAACTCGATATTAGTGATTAAGAATTCGAAGATATGTTCTTTGAGATGTTTGATAGAATTTGTTATATTAATGTGGAGAAGACATTCAAAATAATCATCGTATTTAGGTTTTTATTTAAATCCATATAACAAAATATCGATAGATGATGTAAAACCAATCTATCGTCTATACGATGGGAAAAAAACGAACAGAGAACAATCATGGAATTAAATCAAGTCTATATGTTGTTGAATTATCTGTTGACATCGATTATGTAAATCATCTATATCGAATAAATTATGGCGTTGTTTTTCAATTTCATTGAGATGATCGATAATAGTTGGATGTCGTTGTAATAAAATCTCGCTACGTTCTACGATTAATTCACCAGCAGAACTAACAGAAGCATATTGTTTTAATGCAGCATGTTCTTCTTTTGTACATTTTGATAATAATAACATGTAAATAATTGATAAACAATCATCAGCATAATAAGCTGAAACTTGTTTACCATGTGTTAATTCGTATTCAGTCAATACAGATGTGGATGCTGTTGTAAATGTTCCTTCATAATTACCTTGGAAACCATTATATGTCGATGAATCCCAATCAATTAAATAAATATCATCATTAAATAAGATTAAATTATATATTCGAATATCACGATGAACAAATCCAAGTTTCTGACCAATAGATAATTGTTTAAATAATTGATTAATATATTTCTTTTTGCATAAATCATTTTTGTTCATTAATTTTCCAACTGGTCTTGATAAAATAAAGCCTTGAATATTAAACATATGTATTATTTTAATATCTGATAATGAATGTTCATTTATGTAATTTTTCATTTTTTCAGCTATTTCATATTCTTTTGTTGATGTTTTATTTGAAATTTTCATGGCATATTGAATATTTTCATGTTCAATTTGATAAACTATACCATTTGCACCTCTTCCTAGAAAAAAGATAAGTTTAAAACACGGTATGAATGTTCAACTACCGAATACAATTTAATTCTATTTTTCGGTCAATTATGGATTTCTATGAAATTAAAATAAATCTAACAAAATTTATCTTCATGATGATTCTACTAGGTTTTTGTCGATTCATTTCAGCATCAAAATGTTCTCTGAAGAGCATTGAAGTTTCATTAAAGGTAGAGTCTATTACAAAAAATAAACAATTACTTACCTAATGATAATTTAACATAAAAATTATTTGGAATAGAAAATTTGACATGACCCAAATGAGATGGATTACAATGAAGAAATTTCCAATATTCTTTAATAACATTTTTGGATTTAAATACTTCGTAAATAAATTTATCATTTACTATTGATGTTTTACCAAAAATAATCTCTTTATAATTAGTTAAACATCCAACTGCATAATTTCGTTCAGGAGATATTTGAATAATCATTCTTAGATATTCTAACATTTGTGATATTTCATTTCTTGTTAAAACATTCTTTTTCTTTTCGATTATTGTGATAATATTCCATGAATGAAATTGTTCATTCATTGACCATGTAAAATCTGGTTGTTTATCACAAAACACTAATCCAAATTCACCACCCTTTTGATTTCCCGTAAATGTTACTTGTGGATTAAACTTTTTTAAATGATTATTAAATTCTAAACTTCCTTCATTTTCTGATTTTGTTTTTGACACTTTAAGAAATGTATTAATTGTATTTTGAAAATCTTCAGTTGGTTCAAGGATAATCATGTTAGAAATGCCAAGAAATTCTTCTAATGTGGTACAATCAATCTTTGTTGAATAAATGTGTAGAATAATAGATTTATCTGATTTGGATTCAGAATTTTGTGATCGAACCGAATCCGATAATTGGGATTCATATTCATATTGATCTATATATGAAAAGAAAAACATAAAGATATGGTTTCCTTATTCTATTCAAGATTTTGCATGAAAATATTTCTTAAATAAACTGCTTTCTATTGTTTTATACAATACAAAGATATGATATGTTTCAACTTTGGCTTTCGATCGAGAGGAATCGAATTATTCAAAAAATATATTGATCAATCTGTAGCGTTATTGAAAACTTCAGTTCAATCTTCGAAATACTAGGTGACTCGATTCTTTTCAAAAAAATAAATAAATAAACTTACCAATCATTTTCGAATCGAATTCTAGTTTAATATGAAAATAGAATAAGTGATGAGAACAATTGCAAATCTAAAAAGCAATAAAATGTTTGATTATAAAAAATGAAGTGAAGAAGAGATTCATTTTTTCCACATCCCAGGTCAATCAGTCCCGTACTCGGATCCGATCGGATCCAATGTCGGATCTCATCGGACCCGAAACATGAACTTTCCAGTTTTTCTAAGGGTCATCATAGAATATAGCTAGAAAGATCGCTCATAAAAATTTGCAACAACCGACGAAATTTTTCCAGTCGGATTCTAATGCAATTCCGTTTCCAGGAATCCGATCGGATTTTGTCGGATGGTCGGATCCAGCATCGAATTTGTTGAGCTGGGATGCTGTGTTTGAAAATATGTTGCTAACGATATCTCTTCGACAAACAAATATCAATCTGTATATTCAAAAACAAAATACATTAAAAAAATCTGTGAAAAGACGATAATAGAAGAAAAAGATAACGAATGGTATGCGAAGGTACTTTAAGTACATGTCTGTAACAGATCCAATATGAAGTACTTTTAAGATAAAGTTACACGGAAACAAAAAAAAACTAAGCAAAACATATATGTTAAGAAAAATTTTATTCAATATTCCATCAATACAGTAATCATTTATAAAACTAACCAAATTCTAAAATGAAAATAATTGACGGATTGAAACAATACAGAGGAAAAGATGATTGATTTTCTTCAATTATCGTGAAGTAATGAAATTTATATCAACTAATTGTGTTTTATTATCGGCATTGTTATCCACAATATTTATTTTATCTTGTAGATCAATGAAAATCATCTTCTCAGATAATACCTTTTAATAGAAGAGTATAACTGTACCTGATCGATACCAACGTTGCTTCTCAACATGAAAACGATTTACGTAACTACTGTTTGTTCTCAGTGGTGGATCTAGGATCTTTGAAGGGGGGGGGGGGGGGGGGGGGGGGGCCCAGGGCGGTCTTTCCGGCCGCGGGGTCCCTTTCCACCTGGGCCCGCTCGGGGACGCCCCTCCGCGGTTCCCCCCCGC